ACTGAGATGATGCCTAAGAAAATGCAGTGCCTGTGCCTTCTCGGCATCAGAAGCAACAGCAGCCTTATCTATGGTTTTAATAGTCTTCGGGAGTTCTTTCCCACTAAGAATAATCTCAGCATCAACAGACCAAGCCAGGTAATTGCTGCCATTCGGGTACAACTCAGTGAATTCACGCTTGACAATGTCAGACATATCTGTATGGCATGGAAAATATATGCGTATCAATATACTGCTAGTAAGCTATTGGTTGGCAAAAAGACATTTGTGGTTCGTAGATGTCTAAAGGTCACATACACCATGTATCTATATTCTCAGAACTGTTAATTAAAAATAAATAAATAATGCACAATATATATTTATATATATAATAGGGTACCCGAAGAGGAGGAGCTAATAACCATCAACGTTGATTTATTCGAGCGATCAAAAGCGCGGCTACACCTCTTGCTGAGCTCCGCCTCGTCTGACCACCGAGGCCATGGGCTTCGCTTCGTCCGACCACCGAGGCCATGGGCTCCGCCTCGTCCGACCCTCGAGGGTGGGCCCCGCCTCGGTTAACACTGAAGCCGCGGGCTCCACCTCGCTCGACCCCCGAGGGTTGGGCTCCGCTTCGGCAGACCCCCGAGGGCGGGCTTCGCCTCGCCCGATGTCGGAGGGCTGGCTCTGCCTCGCCCGACGTCTACAGGCTGGCTCCGCCTCGCCCGACATCTGCAGGCTGGCTCCGCTTCGCCCAACGTCTGCAGGGCGGGCTCCTCTTCGGCTGACCCCCGAGGGCGGGCTTTGCCTCGCCCGGCGTCTGAGGGTTGGCTCTGCCTCGCCCGACGTTTGCAGGCTGGCTCCGCTTCGCCCGACGTCTGCAGGGCGAGCTCCTCCTCGCCCGACTTCCGAGGGCAAGCTCCGCCTCTCCCGATGTCTGAGGGCTGGCTCTGCCTCGCTCGACTTCTGAGGGCTGGCTCCGCCTCGCTCGATGTCTGCAGGCTGGCTCCGCTTCGCCCGACATCTAAGGGCTGGCTCCGCCTCCCCCGACGTCTGAGGCACGGCTCCTAACGGAAGCTCATGTCGCCGTCAACCACTATGGGCCAGAAAGTACAACCCAAGGTCAAACTTTTGGCATTGTGCAAGGGCGGTCACGTCTCAACAAGACCCGTCCCCGCGACATGTTATTCCAGGGGACTCACATCGCCCACAGTGACGGACGTGTGGTCACTGTACTGCCTACTCCCTGTATGGTCGCTGATCAATACGTTGGGTCGTCGCGCCGCCCGCCGGGGCGGGACGGGACGTCACGACCCGCTGACAAACACTAGGACATGGCATCATCAGGCGGACAGGCGTCCGACGTGGGGCTGTCCCTGTCACCACCGGCCGTGTCAACGGGGCCTGCACGGAGGAAGAGAAAGGCCCGTCGACCCTGAAGGACTTCCTCCCCCTCTCGTTCTTCTCTTTTCTCCCGTTGTAACCCGCACTTTCCCTTGGCCTATAAAAGGGAAAGCGGGGCATCCCTTAGAAGGGCATCGGTTCAACGCACCGCATCAGAACATCGCACAACACACACACACCTCCAGAGACTTGGGACCAGTCCCTCTCTCACCCGTTTGTAACCCCTACTATGAATTTTTCAGTGCTAGTAACACGAGCAGTAGCAACGAACTGGACGTAGGGACATTCTGTTCGAACTAGTATAAACCTTGTGTCCTCTTAGCACACCATCCGGGCCAAACGCGTAATAATACAAATTTACTCATTGTTATTTACTCGAAACACCGACATATATATACACTACAACATTCAGTATGTGAGAATTCATATGCAAAATTTCTTAACTTGCAAATCATCGAGACGAAGTGATTCTTCAAGAACCAGATTTCAAGAACCAGCTAGCCTTATCCAATTTGACAAGAACACAGCTTCCAGCTGGTCGGCCATGGAACTCAAATCGGATTTTGGCTTCATGCCGTGTGCAGGAGCCATTCAGAGGCGCTCTACAGTGTGATGGCCATGCTGTGGCACCGCTAGTGCGTCGTGCAATATCACACCCTATCAAAATCTAATTGGATCAGAGATTTCATATCGTAGTTGCTAGGATTGGGTAAGCGGCAGCAGCTTTAAGGATGCCAGCCTCATCGATTGCAAGTGCAAGAGCCCATAGCTGGTATGATTGTGGATTGCTATCTCCATGATTCTTTCTAATTTCAGATTAAAAAAATCTGCTAGAGGATGGAACCATACTGCTGAACAGCCGCAAGAACAAATTTGGGGAAAAAAATTCCAGATCAATTTCTATCAAAAGAAGCGTACTGCAAGACGTGATTGCTACATACCGTTAGTGTGGTGTAGCTGATCTTGTGACGCAGGTTGAAGCTTGATGCAGTGGAGGCCGGAAGCAGTGAAGAGGAGTAGATCCGGGACCGGCAGTAACGAAGTCGACGCTTGTCGTAGCTTTTTGGCAAGGTCGGCGTTGATGTAGAAAACGGCGTGGTCGCAACCTTGTGTTGGTGGTGACGTAGATAGCCGATCCGGCGATATCACCAACGATGTGTAAGCAGTGGCAAGATCGACGGAGGATGGTAGAGTCTCGTGCTGATAACGTGTTAAGTAATTACGTTACTAGCGGTAAGGATCTCTCTCTTCGTTACACGATGTGTAAGCGGTGGCAAGAACGACGGAGGATGGTAGAGTCTCGTGCTGATAATGTGTAAGCTTTGGTGCTCCTTGCTCACGGTGTCTCAGGCTAAAACGATGATGATAGTTAGGACGGAGGGAGTACTGCCTAGCTTAAGAGCAATTCTAAAAGATAACTTTAAAAGAGTTGTTGTTCCTTAGCGTATAATTTGATTTAAAAAATTTATGTAATTGCCTACAACATACTATTCATTTTATTCTCATAAAAATAGTCTCGTGCTATCCCTCAAATTTTGCTAGACATATAAACAAGCCATGCTCATTCGCCAAGTCCGTGTGATCTCCTCTCTAGCCCGCGCCATTGCTCAGCCCCGTGCGCCATCTCATGGGATTATTCTGACCTTGGTTCATATTAGCCTTGTGTCAGATAATTGGCTAGATAGCCTCTGGCTATTTGCGGCCATTGATATAGCCCAAACATTATGGAAATTTCTACCTACAAGGAATCCACGTGTAATATGACAAGTATACTCACCTCTCTACACCTTATTGCTCTCACAGCGCATGTGTACGACTGCTTTGCACCAGTGGTCGAAGCTATGTTGTAGCTTGTGGGTACACATGCACCCACAAAATTTTGAAAAACCAATACTAAAATCAAAATTTCACCATGGTTTTAGCTTAAATTTTCACACATACAAGGCAAATGCACCACCCTCTAATTTACTCTAACTTCGCCACTACTTTGCACGGTCACTGCAGTGCAACGATGATGAGTGTGACTACGATACTATCATGTGTGAATCAGCTTAAGTAACTCTTTGGGGTTGATTGTTGACGAGTACAATGAGTCAATATGTCAATATAGACAAAATATACAAACCGACAAAAGTTAAGTTACTACGCACTTATATATTTCCATTTGGGACTAAGAAGGACAACTTAAGAAAGACGGGGGGTTTGTACTTTTCCGATGCAAAAAGTTCATTGGCGTGAATGCTTTAAATGTCCGATCCACTCGACCGTTGCAAGCGGGGATACTTTCCCAATGCGAAAAGTTTGTTGGCGTGAATGCTTTAAATTTCTTATCCCCTCGACCGTTGCAAAAAAAAACCGTACTGACTAAGCCGTTGCTAGCTTCGGTTGTTGGCGCGAATTCTTTAAATGTCTTCTCCCCTCGACCGTTGCAGAAAACCCATATAGACCCTGTTCGCTTCTCTTATAATCCATCTTTTTCAGCTTGTTTTTTCAACCGTAACAGTGTTTTTCTCTCACAACAAATCAGCTGGAACAGTGTTTCGGCTTGTTTTTTTCAGCGAAGCGAACGAGGCCTATATTGACTAAGCCCTCGTTAGCTTTGGTTACAACTCTCTCAAACTCATAACCACATCCACTACCATGCATAACACAATTCACACTCTCCATTTCCTCATCAAGCTAACTTGTGCAGACATATGAAGCTGTTGAAAGTTCCATTCCATTTCCTATCAAGGACCAGAGAAGCAATTGAGGTCGAGTCAAGCCAAGTCAATCTCCAAAGCGGACCCAACTCCCTCCGAAACCCGTAACCCGCGGACGCCTGCCACACCCGTCAGGCCACGCCGCCACGGCTGCGCGGCGCACGCTGCTACTGGTATGTAATCATCCCCTTCCCCTGCGCCCCTCGCCACTCTCCCTCGGTCTCTCCCCACTGCCCACTTTCCATCGGCGGAAGCGGAAATAAATCAGAGGGCCCATAGGAATATCGTTAACGGGATGCACAGTGGCAGCGGGATGAATTAACTGCTGGATTTCTTCGGAGATTTGAGGCGGAGGTGAGGAACAGTCTGCTCTCTCCTCCCCAGGACTCCCCAGGACACCAGAAAGGAGTGATCTTTCTCTCTCCCCCCGCCCACCCTCTCTTCTCCTCCACCGAGCAGGACAGAGAGGATTGCTTGAGGTATGGACGCTTCTCCTACTCCCTTGTGCGCGTTTCTGTTTGTTGTTGTTAATCGTAGCATCTGCTTCTCTGAATCGGCTTCCTCCGTGGAGGCTTATGGCTTCTGTGTCGTTTATTCACTGAATCTGTTGGTTGCAGGCACTTTCCCCACCCCACCGCCGCTGGATTTCGCCGTCACGCGGTGAAGCCCTTCGCGTCGACGGGCAATCGGCTGCCGGATGAACTAAAGTTTGTGTTATGATGGGATAGGTGTGCTCCTGGTCGCGTCTCTGGGGACCCTTGCCCGTTCTCGATCCAGCGCTACATGTGGAGCTCACCTTTCTCCGGCTAGCGTTGTGTCTGGGGAGCTTTTCTTGTCCCTCGGGAGCTGGTTGAGTTGTCTTTGGTTTGTGCGGAATCTGTGCGGCAGCGTAAGCTTGCTGATTCGGGGGTTTGGATGGCACCGGTGGGGGATGTTGTGGACATCAGCTCTGATGAGGAGGACTTGTTCATGGGCACTTCACTAAAACTCCAGGAACCCCTCGACCCCCCCGTTAATTTGTCACGGTTTATGCACATTTGCGGTGTGGCTGATTTTGCGACCGGGGAGGATATCGATGACCTCATGATTATGAGTGAGATATCTGCTCCACCAGTGTTGCAGAAGACAGCCAACCCTGACGAGCTCGTGGTTATGGGTGAGTTGTCCTCGCCACCTGCGCTGCAGCAGAAGAAGGCCAGTGCTGATGGTGGGTGCCATGAGGATGATGATGATTGTGTAGTTCTAGATGGTGACCCTGATAAGGCGGTTACAGTTCCTGACGAGGGGAGCGCGGGAGATGGCAGTTCGGATGAATTGCAGATAGTCGCGGAGAAAGGCCCGGTATTTCATTTCTTCCATTCTGATCTATAGCAATAACACTGCATTTTGTACATGCCATAAAAATAGTGCCTTTTATTTATTTATTTCTCGAATACAAATAGTGTCCTTTATGCAGTATTTGATAGCATGTAGAGAGTTGAATCATTGAGTTGCATTCATAGTACTAGTTGGAGAAGCTGTGCATAAAAGGTTAATGATTTGCTGTGTGTAGTAGTTATATGTTATCTTTTGCTGCTTTCATCTTGTGTCTATGCGCATCTGCTAGGGTCGTTAGTTTCTGGCGGTAATGCTGTGGAATGTACCATGAGGCTCGTATTAGTATGGAAGTGCTTAAACATGCACTGCTCTAATGTGGAAATGATCTGCTTAAGTGTTTCTGTCTCGACCTTGTCGTATTTGTTCATGTCAAGTTTTTTCACAGAAATTGCAGTTTTACTTCACTAGCATTCCTTTTTTTTTTGCTTTTGCTTTTGTTAATTGTCTATTGTTTTTCAGATAGCATGCAGGGACTTCCCTCATTCGCGCCATTTATGCTCAAACTTGCCTTTCAGCACTACTACTCACGTGAAGCATTGTACCATGGTTAGTAACAGACATTTTCGCGCCCTGATGTTTTGGGGAATACAATACGTCAAACATGCTAGGAATGTAACCGGTACAATTTCTTTAATGGCATGTTGTATTCTTGTTTTTCTAATGCAGTGCCACTGTTTTGTGTGTGACGCTCCAGCTCCTTGCAAATATTGGGGTAACAGTACATCAGCTGATGATCATTGCCATGCTACAGACAAGGATTCAAAATGGAGAAACATGAGGCAAATATTCAAGAAAAAATTGTTGCCAGCATCTTTTCCAGGAAAACACCAGAACGGCGTTTACTCAACAATGTCACCACCCAGACAGCAACCTATGCAATGCCATGTTTCAGTCCCACAGTCGCCTTCCATATCACATGGGAGTCACCCTTCTCTTTCCATCCAAAGTCCTCTTCTTAATGAAGGGAGCCAAAACCAACAGAGACATCCCTCGGTGAGAGTCTCACTGAGTGTAGAGGCAACAGTTGGGTCTCCAAGAGCTGGAAGAGGTACTGGCAATGCTCACATTGCTCAAAGTACTCATTCCCATGCAATATTCAAAAGAGCAGGGACTGTTGCTCCAGTCTTTGCAACAAGAAATGCTAGCCAATTTTGTTCTTCTGCTCCAGATGATCTCCTTATGCAGCAGGCATTGTCTCATGCATCTCAGCCTGTTCAAGTTGCACCTACAACCATTGCTTTCACTGGCACTTCTCAGAACAACCATTTTCAGAGATCTTTCAGTGCACCGATAGCACCTCAGGTGCAACAAGGTCAACCTGCGGGATATTATCAGGTTGCCATAAATGGAATGCACGCCACAGGGCCGCAACTTGCACGGTCCACCTCGCTTACAACTCAGAGAACACAATGCCTCCCAGAACCAGCAATAATAGATGTTGGCACATCAAGCTGGCAAGACATACTTGCTACCGTGGCATCTGATCTGGGGGTAGAAGATTACAATATGGGCATCCCTGAGTCTCAGCATGTAACGGTTGACTCTCAAACCATGCATCCCACTGCAAACCATGGGTTCCATCTTCAGCATGAGCCCATTGCAGAATCGGAGAACTTCACATATTCTCTTGTGCATGATTCATCCAATGACACGGCAGGTGGCAGTGTTCAGGCAGATGGTCCTATGCAAACATCAGAGAATTTGGAGCATCTGATTGGCCAGAGCAATCCTATTCCAAGTGAAGCTCACCTGAATGACTTTGTGGGTGTCCCTCCTGATGAATTACCTATAGAAGAAGAAGGAGCTCAGCAGCCTGAGATATCAAGGGTGGAGTCTGCAAACATTCAGTTTGAGTTCGATTGGGATTAAGCCGTGACCTGCCTGGCTGCCTCAGCATATCCTGAACCCATGAATAATAAATCAGTGCCATCGACATGCTCCTTTCTAGGTCTCCTACTCCAGGAGACAGGGGTGGTGCCCCTTGTTCGGTAAGTAGGCTATGTACAAGAAGAGTTTCATCGTCATGTTGTTTGTTATCGTAGTGGTCGTACTTGCCTCTTAGGGCTCAGATGTTATGGCTCTTCGAGATTTAGATGTTAACAGGTATCCCCCCCCCGAAGCAGAAGGGTGTTGGGGGGATGTTGAGTTCCTATTACAATACTGTTGGTCGTATATCTATGGTTTGGGATCTGATGCCAAAATGCATGTCCAACCACTGGTCTACCTTTTTACAATGTGAGGTTTTGAGGTGCAAATGCTTGACGCCTCGTTCCGTTACCTGGGATTGATTCCCAGCCGAACAGTTCTTTCACAAATTTGTGCTAGTGCGGAACATTTTCTGGCCTGGAACGGTCCGTTCCGGAACAACCGAACGGGGCCTGAGTTGGATTGCTGGATCATCAGTTGCCAAAAGGCATGTTTGAGGTAGTAGTATCCTGAAGCGTGGAATTTTGAGGCACAAATAGGTAAGTTGGATGTGCAGGACTGGAGTTGGAATTAGATAAAAATTGAAATGCTCGGTTTTGTTGGTCCTTCATCAACAACAGTTGTTGTGCCCTTCAGTTTACAGAACTTCACATTTGAGTCAGTAGAGCAAATCTTTGGCTCCTTGCTGTTAGGACGGATCGAAGGCGTAGTGCATGTCGACGGCGGCGACGATGTGCCAGGTGCACCGCGTTCCCCTGGCGAAGACGACGAGGTCGCCGGCGCCGAACTGGGCGGTGCAGCTGCTCTCCGGCGAGCCCTCCACGGTGGCGCTCGCCTTGCCTCTCACGATGTAGCACGTCTGGCGCGCTCCGTAGCTCAGCGCGTACCTCCCCGGAGGGCCGCCCCACCTGCAACCAACGTGTTCCAACGGATCGGGGTGACTGACGCGACTCGTTCGTTTCTCAGACGAATGAATGGTCGAACTCGAACAGGATAGAACAGAACAGCGCAGCGCAGCACGCTCGTCGTCTACTCACTTGGGCCAAGACCTGACGCCGAGCTCCGACAGGCGAGCCGCCGCTGGCTTCCGTTCGACGGTGATCGCGGTCGTCGCGGCGGTGGCGCCGACGTGTGCGGCCGGTGCCGCAGCGCCGGAGCTGGAAGCCATCGATGCTGCAGAGGGGAGAAGTTGCCGTTCACGGCGGATTCAGCTTGGTTTAGTTTCCCTTATATTAACAAACAAACAGGCCGGAGAGGAGAAGTTGCGAGCGGATTTGAACTCTCCACGCTCGCTCTGACGCTGACGGACACTCCTACTGCGATGCGATGCGATGGCTGGCCACCGTCGTGCAGCGCATCTAGACATGTCGGCGGTGCAGGCGCCGGCGCCGGCGGGGCGAGGGCGACTCGTTTGCCCGCTTGTGTTGTGTTGCTGCCCGTGGCGCCTGGTCAGAGGCGTTGACTGGGCCACCAGGGTCAACGTGGCGGCATCGGGTTTGGTTTGGCCCAGCAATTACCATACACTGATACACGTTAACAAATCGGAGGCAGCTATGGTCTCCTTTTGCAACCTCCATCCTTTATGCGACCAAAATAAAAATCAGATTGAAAAGGGCATTCTCCGGGGTCTATTTTATTCAACAGAAGGCCATTTCTAGAAGCACAAATTAAAGTGGCAGTTCTTTTTTAATTAATTAAGAAGAAGAGGAGAGAGTACAGGTCAATTTCTGGAGCTCAACTGCAGATGCTCTACCGCAGCGTAGGTATACCTCGGTGTGCGTATGATGAACGTGTGGACAGACCCCTGTAGATTTCACTATTTTGACAGTGGTCTAGCACAGGAATTTGCCCTGGCGTGGATCAGATTACCAGGGTACACCGGCATGCAAGAACGCGAACAGCGAGGTCGGCATCATCAGCCATGAGTAAAGCTGTCGCCTTCAGTCGCATCTACTACAAAGCAGAGCAGGTGCTTTTGCTTACCAAGCAAACGGCAGCATCCATCTTTTCCGGCGACACCTCGGTGGATACTGGATAGTCCTTTGTAGGACGAACATGAGAAACGATAAGACCACGATAATGTAACGACTTCCTTAAAAGATTTGACTAGATATGTACATCAAACTCGATAGGTTACGCATATGTGATTAAGTTAAGCACTTAGACAAACTAATGACTACTTTAGTGGAGAGTATACTCTACCACTTCTTTCTGAATGGTCACCAACTCTATTATTTCAACTAAACTCAAGACAAGAGCCTTCAAGGACATTCGGTGCAGTTTGGCAGAGCTCTTCCTATTTTAGATTTTCCGCATAAGCTGATTATATGTGAGAAGTAATTCTCTGACTGAAATTGATTCCATTTGGTCCTCTAGGATAAACTATGTGCATACGGTGATTCCTTGCGTGAAGTGAATCAAGACAAGCTACTTTTTAAGCTCTAGTTCATATTAGAGAATCACTTCAAATAATCAACAAAGAATCAATTTATAGTAAAAAAAATATTTGGCAGAGCTTCTCCTGGATTCAATGTGGAAGCTGCTCTGGGAGCTCTACCAAGCTGGCCCTCATTTCTTCTCACTCTAACTCCTTGATTCCTTAAAAGATTAGGTGTGGGATTGAGAGTTGGAGGAGGAAAGAGAGACAAACTCAAATCCGTCTTTTGGGCATTCAATTTCTTCGCGTTTGTTACTCTTGGCTTGGCTTCTAGACAGTTATGTGTTGCCCGTGATGCTCCCAACTTGTGTGTCGTGAGCTTCGGGAGGTTGAAAAGAGGGTTGAGTTGATAGAGATCCTTCTAGCAGAAAGCTCATATACAATCTTTATGATCACTCGAAAAGAGGGTTGAGTTGATAGAGATTCAAAACATTTGTAGTCTCCTCGAAAACGGTGATGTATGTAGCCAAACCTTGGGATAAATCGTTGTGTCTATTGTGTTTGTTGTTGTCTTGCGTTCACTGCTCGTGTGTAAAGGTTCTGTAGGATTGAAGGCTAGGAATAGCTCATGAAGTGTAGTAATACGGCAATCAATTTTTCATGTACATTTACTTGGTATATTCTGAGTTTTGTGTTGACACATGTAACCTATGCAGATTTCTACGTAATTTACACATACGTGCATACGTTACGAACAAATCTGTGTAACCTACGCAATAGTACTGATTTGTAGTTTAGTATTGAAAGAAGTTTTCAAATTACGCCAATTCAAAACCCCATACCCCGTCCGGCATTGTTGATTCTTTCACAACACCGACTCAAACACACACACTCATTCTAGTCTAGAGAGAGATACATACAACAAACATATGTTAAGTCTGGTTTTATTCCTTACCTATTAGATGTATGTGTGTTGTATACGACTTGTAACAGAAACCGTATTCTCTATATATATGCAAGACATCATCCAGTGAGGGGTATTCCCTAATCCTTTCTACATTATTATACATTTTATTTGAATGCTGATTAATAACTTGACTAATACACCCGTGAAAACTTCAGAACACAACAGTCTACATCTACATGGCGCATTACTCTCACTCCATTCAACAATCTTCTTCTCGCATTATTTATCCAACTTCTTTCACAGGAACTTAACCAGCCGTTGGTCGGACCGCCACGGAAAAGTTCAGATTTTTAGGTTAAGGTTTTTGGTGAGTTATTACAAGTTGCTCGTTGGGTATATATACCCATGAATTTATGGGTTTATATACTGCAAAACCATATCCGTACCACAAACTCAATAAATAAATATATAGATTTTTGTCTATTAACCTAAGTTATTTCACACACATGCTGTAATAGCGAGATTAAAACTCATCGGCTTTTGAATACGGGTACCCATATGCTTTCCCTCATTGAGGGATGTGAGATGGGATTTTTCCTCGGAAAAATGTTATCGCGCTACTGCGCTAGCAATCGAATTCAGGATTCAACTTTGTCTAGACAGATTCTCAAAAAAAAAAAAAAACTTTGTCTAGAAAGAAGGGAAGTAAATGGGCTTATTTTATGGCTCAACACAAACCTGTTAGTACCAAGCCCACTCAAACGAGCTCAGCCCAACACCAGCACCCCGTCAAGCCCCAATCCCCCCAAGGCCCCCAAGCCATCCCCACGCCACCTATAAAGCGTCACCTCACCGAAACCCTGGCAAACCCTAGCGTTCCCCACCCACCCGCTTCAGCCGCCGCCACAGCCACCGCCGCCGCGCGTAGCAAGCAGGAGCAACCAGGATGCCGGCTGGCCACGGTCTGCGCTCGCGGACGCGCGACCTCTTCGCGCGCCCCTTCCGCAAGAAGGGCTACATCCCGCTCACCACCTACCTCCGCACCTACAAGATCGGCGACTACGTCGACGTCAAGGTGAACGGCGCCGTCCACAAGGGGATGCCGCACAAGTTCTACCACGGCCGCACCGGTCGCGTCTGGAACGTCACCAAGCGCGCCATCGGCGTCGAGATAAACAAGCAGGTATACAACGCGGATCCCCCTTTTCGCTAGCTCGCAGGCAGTTAGAATTGTTTGCGCAGGGCACTTACGTTTAGTGCGCGGGCGCATCTTCTGTTCGTTTCATTCTAGGAATTGGAAGGCTTTAATTTAGAATGGCGACAATTTGCTGTTGTGTTGTTTGATTTGGATTCATAGAATTTGTGCAGGCCCAGGTTGCGATTTATTTTTGTACTGGCAGGAATGGGCAATCAGAGCCATTTCTTTGTATGATATAGTAGTGATAGATGATGTAATTAGGTTGATTATAGGTCGATGTATGATTGGGTTCTTGTTACTACACTGGTGTAATACGATTCTAGTTTGACTAATTGTGCGAGGTTTCCATAGGCCTGTATTCATGTAATATTCTGTGTTAGGGGTTGTTGCTCGGCAGCAAGCACGTTTGGTTTTTAAATATGATGCCAGACACTGAGTAGCCGACCTTGTAGTATGATGAG